AAAGAAATATAGTCATTGGATTTAATCAATAGTGTATTAGAGATTAAAGTGACATGTTCGAATGGAGATTGGAGATGCTATTCAGACTGGTTCTCTGCCTGTTGCAGGGATGCTGCTGCTACATCAGGATTAGTGCATGCTGCCTGTTCCAAGGGAAAAGAAGGCCTTGGTTTTGGTATAGTGTAGGGATTGTTAATTGGTTCCATGTACTATGATTTGCATCAGTTGCTTACCATTCTTTGTGCTGAGATTGTGTACAATCATTGGAATTGGAAAAGAAACAGAGTCATTGGATTTAATCATTGGTGTATTAGGGATTAAAGTGGCCTGTTTAAATGGAGATTGGAGAGTGCAATGTGCAGTGTGTGTGTGTGTGTGTGTGTGTGTGTGTGTCTTGTAATTAGGATTGAATGGTGCGAATCATTTCACTTGGAAGCATTTGTATATCACAAAGAGAATCTTCCTGTTAGAGCAAGACTTCTCCTTTGTAGTTTTGTATGTGATTATGTCTTTGTAGTTTTGTTTTTGGTTTGTTATGGAGACAATATCAACGAGGATTGCCTGAAACTGCTGCCGGTATGAAGGGTATTTTTGAATAAGCCTTACTGCAATTCCATTAGTGGTTGAATACTTGAAGTAGTTACTAAACATATTTTTTGTTTTTATTCTCATAATTCAATAGACACAAATGACTCTCAAACATGCTTTTTGTTTCAGTATTTACCACAAAAAAAAGACAAAAATTATCCTTGTTTTTGATATTTTTGAAGACACAAAAACAAAAACATTACCAAAGGACTTCAAAATTTTATTTTGAAACATCCAAAACGTTTTTGTTTGTATGGAAACTGAAATAAGTCNGACTTCAAAATTTTATTTTGAAACATCCAAAACGTTTTTGTTTGTATGGAAACTGAAATAAGTCATTAATTGAATATCAAATTTCTTATATTTCAAGATATTGCAATAGATTTTGAGATATTTCAACATATTTCAACTTACTTTTCGGCATATTATGATCAATGTTACGGAAATAATTTTTTGTTTTTTTTTGTTTCTATTTGGTTTATGAAATATTTCCAAAACATTATCAAAACGTTTCTATTTTCAAACTCACCCAAACTATACATCAAGACGAAATTTTGATTTTTGCAGAGAACCAAATATTTCTTTCTAAACTTTGGGCAGAAGATCCCTCAACGAACTTCATTATGCAATGCCCCATGGCCCTACTTGTGCTAAGCCGACACTAATCTTGNAAAAAAAAAAGAACTAGAAATAGAACCCAAATGATGTGTTAGCTGACATGATAAATAAATCTTAGAGAAGTGGAACCAGAAATATGTAACTTGTAACACTATCGACCATATAACTCAGTGATGGAAGCCTCATTCACAGACTGAATTTCTAATTGATTGGCCTGAGTCACACCTGCATTATACCCCTGACACAATGCAGGCTCTATAGGTACTGCAAGACTGAGAGAGATGTTATTAAGCATCGACATAACTGAATCCATAGTTGGTCTATCTGTTACATTTTCTTGAACACAAAGCATTCCAATACGGATGCATCTCATTATGTCTTGTTCTGAACATGAACGCACAATCAATTTGGGATCTACCAAATTTAAAGTCGTTCCATCTTGCCAATATTTCCAAGTCTACAAAAATGCAACATGTGAAGTTATAAGACTTCTTTCTATTATAATTTATGCGGCTAGTAATGAATCTTCCTTATTTAAACTTACACAGCTAAGGAGATCTTTTACATTTTCCCCTTGTGGGAAAGACTTGTTCTTCCGATCACTNCTAGTAATGAATCTTCCTTATTTAAACTTACACAGCTAAGGAGATCTTTTACATTCTCCCCTTGTGGGAAAGACTTGTTTTTCCGATCACTTACAATCTCTAAAATTATCACGCCAAAACTGAAGACATCTGACTTAACTGAGAATTATCCATCATTTAAATACTCTATTGCCATATAGCCGTTGTAATTATTCAATCATAGATAATAGCATTAGAGGCCGAAGACCATTCTTAGGCTGAAGACCGTTCATAGGCTTGAAGACATGCTTCAACTTTAGCCTCTTGTGTTTTTCCTTGGAAATTTTCTAGAACCACTTAATTTGTATTTTCAATTTTAATTGCAAATTTTTATAGAACCTTTGTGCTAATCAATGATAGATAAACAAAAGTTAAGAATCATTTCATACTTACCGAGTGCCCGCAATCCGCCTCGTAATGCCTCGAGTTTCATCAAGCATAGAAAGTCTTGCCAATCCAAAATCTGCAATTTTAGGATTCATCTCTGCATCTAACAGAATATTATCAGTTTTGAGATCACGATGAATGATTCGATGACAAGAATCTTGATGAAGATAAAGAAGTCCCTTAGCAATGCCTCCTATGATTTTGTAGCACATATCCCAATCTAAATGTGCTCGTTTAATTGGATCTACAACTCCAACCAAGCACACGAATTAGGCAGAGATTGTTTAAATATTAGCAAAACAAATTTGAGATAAGGATATCAAATTGTTACTGATGTCTTAATTTTTTCTCTATTTGTCACTTTAACTATGTAAGGAGATTTGTATTATAGATTAAGTTAATAAAGATAATAACGTTAGAGAAGGTGGATTGTCGGAGGCTACATACCAAATATGAAACAATCAAGGCTTCCATTGGGAAAAAACTCATATATGAGGAGTCTTTCTGTTCTTTCTAGACAGAAACCTACGAGCTTAACCAAATTCCTGCGCTGAAGCTTTACCAACAATAACACTTCATTCTTAAACTCATTTTCACCTTGTCCGGAATACTTGGACAACCTCTTCACTGCTATTTTTGTCCCGTTTTTAAGCATACCCTATAAATATATCAAAACCAATATTAAATAAATTCACACTCTTAAGCAATGATATTTTTTTATTTGATGCAACTAGATAAATTTTCGAAAGGGTAAGTATTGTATTACCTTGTAAACAGCCCCAAATCCACCCTGCCCAAGCTTGTTATTGTCAGAAAAGTTGTTTTTAGCTATTTCTATTGTACCAAAGTCGTACTTCAAGGTTTCTATGCTGGTGATTAAATCCTTGTCTTCAAATTTGGAAACGAATATTGTGCTAAACCAAATCAGAGTAGTATATGGCAATAGCTATGCATTACAATAATAGCAAACATAGGTCATATATTCGACTAGTGTTACTATTTTTTTTTAATCCTTGATGATAGATATATGAACTTCTGAACCCATTCCTCTCTTTAATTTTCATGCATTAACTACTAGTTCATTGTAGATATTTCAAGAGACATTCTCTTTTAGTATACCAGTGATTTTGACATGTATAAATTAAAGCATGCTGATTTGTATACCAATGATACTATTGGCACCTCATTTGTTGATTTAATTCATCGCAACTATTGAATTGGTGTTGGACCTAACAAATAATGAAACCTACTATCAATCTAATGGTTGTGAGCAAATTAAGTCAGCCAATTAGGTTTTAGTATACATGGTTGACGATATTTGAAACTAGAGCAATGCTGCATGAACTTAAAAATTAACTTGATCAATCATTATAGTTGATTTAACTATGGGTCATATTATTTTATTGGGACCCACTACTTATTTAATAGTTGTAATTTTTAAATCAACAAATCAAATCTATATTTTTAAGTTCAAAGTAGCATTTTCCTTGAAATTGTTGTGTCTCCCGTATATTCTAGGTAATGATCATTTATGATACAATAATTGGAGCCTAACTTTTAAATAAACAATGAAAAATCAGTTTTAGTACTCTCATTAAACAGGAGAAAAAAGAACTTACTGTCAAATTTCTGTTCTAGCTTCCTATGCTTCCGTTGTATCCTCTTTCTTAGAAAGATACAAATGAAAATGGTAAGGATCACAGAGATGAGAGTTGGAACAACAATAGTGTAGATAGTTCGAGTTTTGTTACTGTCTTTGCCTGCGAAATTACAGAAATGTGCTTTCAATATGTTAATGGTAGTTTTGGGATGTTGAATTCATTGTGACCAACACTAAATCACCTAAGGGGGAAAATATGTTTTAGGCACCCTTAAATATGCCCTGTATGTTTTTGTAGGTGTAGGTTTGGGAGGGGGGTGACAGTGGGTGGCAGTGGTGGTGGATGGCAACGGGTGGCGGGTGGTGATGGTTGGTCAAATTATTATATAGATTACTGAAAATCACCCATCATTGTGTGTCAAATTTCTCGGTTGAACAAAACTTGTAAACTAACCTATTGTCCTTACCCTTTGAATTTATTTGTTTCAGTTTAAATTGCAGATAACAAAAAATATTTGACATTTTTATGCCTATCAGGTCGATGTTGCCTCAAATTCGCCATATTTTCTAGACTTACTGAGTGGGAGATCTTTCCAATATCATTGTACTTTTTGAGGAAAGGAGGAAATAGTTGTATCCACTAGGTGGAGATCCTTCAACTATTCAATCTAATCATAAACACCTAATCAGAACCATACCTGGAGGTGGCAGTTGCTGTGGTGGTGGCGATGATTGTGGTGCAGCTGGAGTTTCATTATAGAAAATCTAGGGCTAATACATTCTTAGAATTGTCGTCCCTGTTTTTCCTTTGCAACAATCCGGGATTTCTTGAGCAGTCCCATCTAGGCACTCGTCACATTGGATGTCAAATAAATCAGGTGTGCACTGCAAAAGTGCATATATTGTTTGAAAGGGAAGGGCACTAGTGCTCCCACTAGCAAACTTGCGCAAAGAATCTCCTGATTTAGCTTGTACCCATTGTCTGTCCAACAAGATCTTTAGTTCCTGATAGAACTGAAGCACTTATGAATCTGCTATATTGCCCCTGCCCACCAGAGGAGTAGCTGGGCCATTATCTAATTGGTGGAATATAGTGTAATTTGAGAACCTTAATGGCGGGACTCTAGGTGACTCTACAGTCCCGGGTTGACACGTGGAATAATAGAACCGTTGAGATATCCAAAGGGTGCCGAGGAGGTAAGCCGATGTATGGTAACACGGAGCAGTTGAGTACGACAATTGACATCGTATTTAATGCGATGTGACCCCTCATTTATGACGGAATGAGTAATAGTGATACGACAAATAAATGTGCGCTTGTCCGCACCTGTCCTCTAGAAGTCTAAGCCTACTGTCATGATGACTAAGCA